GTGATGCAATGCAAATTATTTATCTTAAATTTAAATTATTATTTATATGTTTAAAAATATCTATTTATACAAATTTTAAATATATTTTATATATTTGAAATATAGTATATAATGTATTTATAATTTTTTTACATAAATTTTAATTAAATATAATAAACATTTAATCCGTAAAATACTAGTTTTCCATGAAATGTTAAGGTGGCTAATAGAAAATAATGTATTTACTTTTTTAATTCATAATATTTGAATTCAAAAAAGCTTTATTCAAAATGAAATTAAATTTCTTATTCCCTAAATTAATAGATATACTAATACATGATTTTAACTCATTAATATAGAGAATGTTTAAGTAGAATTAAGAAAATAAGTAATAACGAATGAATTTAAACTTGTAGTAGCGTTCATTAATTTTAGCCATTTAGATGAACTCAAACTTGACCAAAAATCAGATTTTTTAGCGGGGCAAGAAATAAAGTTTTCACTTGTTGTTGAGGTAAATCCGTAAATATAAGCACTTATATAATCAAATCTAAGCTCATAGATTCAATTTTTTTTTTGGATTGTGATATTATGCTCACTTTAATTATTTTTTTCAATAGAAAAAGTAAATAGATTGATGAGTGAAATTAAATTAATATTTCAGTGCACTATTCTGTCGAGTGAATTTAGTGTTCTACTGGCTATAAAAATAAGATGTGAAAACTGGAGTGTTTCTGGGTTGTTTGAAATTCGAAATTACTACAATTCAAGGAAATCTTTAATCTACAGCATGTGCGTTGCGTTACGTTGGGAGAATAGTGAATTGTGAATGGTATATATATTATATATATATATATATATTATTACATGGTCAAAATTCTTCAAGCACTTGGTATGTATAAATAAAGACCACACCGAGGAAGGCTTAACCAGGCAAAAGGATCCAAATTCTTCATCTTCTCCACTCTCTCTTTTATGGCTCCAAACAAGCTCAATTCCCCGGTAATTGTATTCTTATCTTCATCATGTCATTCTCAATTTCAGTTTTTATTTGTTTTCCCCCTTTTTTTTTTCTTTTTTTTTTTCAATCTTAATTATTGGTTGGTTGGGTTCATGTGTTTTTACTGCTAGGGTTTTTCTTTACCAATAGCCTTTGTTCATTGGGTTGTTGCTTCATGTCCCATTTTGATGTTTTAATTTAGTTTGGACTTGTGCTCCTGGAATTTGGGAGCCTGGAATGAATCATTTACTGTTGCAACATGCCATACACGGAGAAGATAAATGAGAATGCACAAAAATGACTTACAATTAAAATTGACCTTGATTCTCTCATTACTTGTAGGATCAGTGTCCAGTAGGATTGCTTGTATGAACAAAATTGTTAGTTTGGATTTGATGTAAACCACTACTCTTCATGTCAGTTTGGGCTACCTTCATATCTCTTTGACATAGAGCCATAGAGGATATTTTCAAATCAATATCTATTGTCATTCATATGTTCATGCTTACAAGTTACAACAAAACAAAGGACAACCAAAGTCCAAGTATTTCCCCAGCTTTGGAGGGCAGCTGTATCACATGCATCAGTATCAGTGACAACTGTATTTATTGATTTGTTTGATTTCCTTCGTGCAACAGGGAAATACAAGTACGTCATGTTCGCAGGCTGAGAATGGTTTTGTCAATTCCTTTTCTCTCTTCCCTGAGAAAGCAGTGCAAGAGCTTCTTCAATCTCCAGTCCAGGGGTCGGATGACCATCTTATAGAGTTCTCTGAAGCTTTAAGAAGTATGATCATATTTTGTTCAAATTAATAATATCAACTGCAACAAGACGTGATCTTGATACAAAGATCTTTGTCCTTATTTTATCTTAAACTTCTTCTAGCTGTTGCGAAGGCTCTCAGGCAGGTTGCCGAAGGGAAAGCTTCTGCTCAAGCTGAGGCTGCTGAATGGAAACGTAAATTTGAATTGGAGAGGGCACGGAATCTGAAGTTTGAACATGCAGGTGCTAATAGTTGAATAACTACAAAATTTAGATTCTTTATTTATATTTTCTATTTTATAAAGGTGATATTGCATCAGGAAAATAATATTTATCATCTGTTTTTTGACTTAACTGTAATTGTGCTCTCTGTATACTTGCTGATTGATGAATAATTTATTTCTTTTGGTTGCTTCTATTCTTATATTTGAGTTATATACAATTCCTGTTACTTTATTTTCATTGTTTGTATCCCTTTTCATCCAAAATTGTTGTCTAGAGTCTTTGTTTAATGCAATGCAATTTCTGTCTGTTAGTGATTGGGATTCGTGTTCTTGTAGTTGTATCATATTGTTTTGCAGTCTACTCTTACTAATACTTTACTGGCTTTATTTTTTATTTTTATAAATCTCTGATGCATTGAAGATTTTCACTTCCTTTAAATAAGGAGTGGTTTTGTTCATCACATTTTTCTGAGTGTCTTGGTTTTCCCTTGAACTCACTATGTATTCATTCTCAATTGACATGATATTGTAATTCAGAATTTCCATTTCCATTATTGAAAATTGAAAATAAAATATATATCATATGGTTGCAAAGAAGTCAGTATGATGGTCTCAATCCTGCCATGAAGAGAAATTGAACCATTAAATATTCTTGATGTTAATATATACGTTCTAAACTCCTAATATGTAGAAAGGTCCACTGGTAATATTGAAAACATTTCAAAGATATAATGATTGAGGCATAAAAGTAAATGTTGGAATTTTCTAATTTTTTGTGAATTCCATATTTGTGTTACCATGTGCCTGTATCGTACTCTTGCTGATTATATGCCTTCCATCTTAACTGTTATGATCTGTTCTGTCTATATCTCAACTTTATAAGTTTATAATTTATTTTCACTGTTTGTTTTAATTGCAGAGAAATCATGTCTTGACCATCAGGCTGATCTTGATGACACGAGGACAGATAACCCAGCCAAACAACCTACATCATGCAATGAGGCTAATGGGCAATCTGAAAAATGTTGTTCGAGGAATGGTATTTGCTCCCATGAGGTTCTTAGGGATGGAGCACCTGATTCCGATTCCAAGATGATCAAAAAGGTATTTTTTTTTTATAAATCCCTGCTTGAAGCAAATTGGGCTATTATGCTACGATCATCCTGTCACAGTTGGGTTTCCTATTGATATTTGATAGAAATATTTGTGTTTTTGTATATTGAAAAAAATTCAAGTCCTATATCGACTAGAGATAAGACAAAAAAAAGTTTGAGTAGGGGGTAACCCTTACCTTACAAGCTGGTTTTGTAAGATTGAATTAGACCCAAATCCACTTTCTAAGATGGTATTAAGACTACCTTAGATCATTAAAAAGAGTTATCTGCCATTTATCCACGTATTAAACCTAATAATGTTGGATGTGAGGGGGTGTATTAGAAAAATTTAAAATCTTACATTGACTAGAGATAAAACAAACAAATAGTTTATAGGTAGAGAACAACCTTCACCTTATAAACCAAATTTATAAAGTTAAATTAGGCTCAAATTCACTTCCTAAGATTGTGTACACGTGTTTGTCTAGCCATTTTGTTGATGTTCAAACATCCATTAGGCTGAATACACCGACTCTTCACAACAGCACATGTTGTTGAGTCACTACATTCAAATGACAATCGGGTTAACTACTAACTAGTAATGTTATTACTGATACAAAATTGTGGAAATTACTATTGAATTTGTTGTACATCTTTTCAATGAAATTATGCAAGTACTATCACCATATGTCAAGAACTACCACTACATCTTTTCAATTACACGACACCTTTTTTCTTGGTTTGAAACTAAACCTTCAAGAATATTACTTACTATGAGCTTTCTCTTGACGACTTCCTCGAAAGTCTTTCTTGGTCTCATTCTTCTTTTCACAGGTCCAAAAACCATGCCATATACTCTTCTCACTAGTGCCTATCGCAGGCTTCTTTGTACATGTTCAATCAATTTTCTATCATCCTTTTCTCCATCGATGCTACAACAATCTTTTCTTATAATCATTTTGTATCTTGTCCTTTTTCTGTTTGGCTACACCTCCATCTTAACATTCTCATTTCTATTACTCCCACCTTTCTCTCATATTTTCCCTAGAAGCCCAACATTCACTACCATATAACATAGCCGAACATATAGCAGTACAATAAAACCTGCCTTCGAGTTTGGCAGGCACATTGCAATCGCAAATAACCGTCGATGCCTTTCTCCATTTAGATATCCCGCTTGTATCCTGTGTGAAATTCTCATAAATTTCTCTGTCATTTTGTATTGTTGATCCCAAATATTTAAACTTAAACATGTGGTATGACATCTTCTGTCATTTTTACTTCCAAGTCATATTCCCCTCGCCTCTTGCTAAAGTTGCAATGCATATACTTTGTTTTACTCCTACTTTAGCAAATTGATCTTAATTTTTTTCTTTATTCTCGAGACAGGCTTCATTTAAACTTTCATGGTTCTGCAAAGGTGAGCAAAGTGATCAGTACAAACATGACATTGTCTCTTTTGAAAGAGGAAATATAACCACTGCAGAGCGCAGTAGTAAGCAGGTGTCTCTTCAGTTGTGAGCGATTTGACTTTATTACTCGTGATCGATAAGCTCGTGTTTCTTTTTCTTAAAGTTTGCCTCATGCTAGTTACTAAATTTTGGATAGCTATACTTGTATATTGTCTAATTGAGAAGTGATATTTATTTCAGATCTCTTTGAAGTGGGAGTCATGCCCACAGACAGTGCTCATATTGACCAAACCAAATTCAGTTTCAGTTCAAATTTTGTGTGCTGAAATGATTAGGTATGAATGCTAATATATTGTTTGTTTTCACTTCTAGATCTCCCAAAGTCATGTTTTCTTTAATGTGATACTGATTTGAGTTTGAAACTCTGCACGAAAGTATGAAATATGTTGCTACGGAATAGAATTTGATCAGAGTTCAAAAACTCATTTTACATTTTTATGGAAACTTGCTACCTCTGATGGTGTCTTTCATTCTTTCTTTCTTGATGGTTGTTGGGAAAACTTAGAGGTCTCTGCTTAAGATGGAAGAGCTTTCTGTGATTACACACACAAACAAAAAGAGTGTGAGAGGAACTAGTCTTAACCATTCAATCATAATGGATAGACAAGATTCAATCCCATCACCTCTTACTAGATTCATGCAAAAATTAAAGTTAACCTGACTTTTTGAGTTTGATGTAGCAAAGTGAAGATTGTTTCTTTTCAAGTTTTAAGTTTAACTCCACTTCTTATTATGATCTATTTACATCTATCCTCCGCTTTTTCATCCTTCAATATATTTTGTCTGATATAAATGAATAACAGGTTATATAGCATGGAAATTTTCATATTGATGTTACCATTTCAGCTCATGCCAAACCTTGTTTAAGTGGTGCTCTGCTTTTTTTTTTTTCTTTTCATTCCCAGATGGTTGAGGCAGCGAAAGAAACTACACATCTATGTGGAACCACGTGTCAGGGTGGAGCTTTTGACAGAATCATCATACTTTAATTTTGTAGAAACTTGGAATAATGGTAAGCAATTAAATTCATGAAAGAATACTTTCTATTTAATGTGCTTTACAAAATTGTACAGACTGTACATTGAGGTTATATCTGGAGGCATTGTTAGGGATGTTTTCTAATTTTTGTGTGGATTCATTACATCCGAGAGTGCACCTTGCCTATATATGCTACCTTATGTATGGAAAACTTGTGTGAAGATAAGGAAAACAGAGGGTCAAATAAAGTTTAGTATTTTCTTCTTCTATCATCTCATTAACTAGGATCATTTCATTTGTAAAAAGCATGCATTAAAGCATTAGCTCTTGGTTTCCCAATAAATACATCTAATACAGAGGTAAAGATGAAGTATTCAGATTTCAGAGTCAACCTTTGGTCCAAACTCCAAACATAGTCATTTACTCCATTATATCCTTTTTATTTTCTGATATGAAGTTCTTCTCTAAACCCTTCCGTAAGACACACAGTTTCTCACGGAACCCTATCATGGGCCTTTTCTAAATCATTTAGACCATGTGCAGGTATTTTTTTTTCCTTTTATTTTCATAAAAGCCCACACTAGATACATAGCCTTTATGGTTGACCCAACAAACTTAAAACAAATGACTCCCTCTATTCTTTATTATAAACAACAAAAAGCACATTTTTTTAAATATAAGCAAATTTCAACTACTTTTACCTCATTTAATGATATTCTCTCTAAAATACCCCTCTTTTAATATATGACATTTCAGTTGTACTACTTGTTTTGACATTTATAACAAGGAAAATTTAAAAAGAATATTATGAGATTAGTAAAATTTAATGCAGACAGCTAATTTCCTTAATGTATAAAATCAATTTTTTTTTGCTTATAATAAAAAAAAGAAGGAATAATTCTCTATTATGTAAGCCTCTTGAGTCTTGCCTTGGTCTTCTCTATATTATTCTTTCGTTGACTGCTCCTTGTTGCTTTCCGAAACTTGAGTATCTTCCAATAGTTAAATTATATGTCATCCTATTGCAATAAACGATATATAAAGCATTTTCCTGAAGGTTATTGTGAACCTAAATAAAACCTATCAAAATCTTTACTTGTTATTTCATTAAGCCAGCATTCAAATATTGCGTTATTTACTGTTTGCACAAAAAAAAAATAATACTATATTACTTATAATGATGCATTTTTATTGTCAGCATAATTTTGGCAGAACATAATGCCAGGATTATTGGAGTTTAGCTCAGAATTGATGGACCCAAATCAATCATTTTCTTGAAGCAAATAACATGATTTTTTTATTAAGAAATTTGTGTTCTATTTATTGTATTACAGCCTCCTTATTTGAATTAAGATGATGAATTTCACTTCATGCAATATCTTTTAGTATCTATTTAATCAAATATTTGCTTATAATGGTTGCATACTGTCATTTTTCTCAAAATTATAACTATTTATGAACAACCTTTTTTTTTGGTAGATAAGGAAGTTTTGATGCTGCACGATAAAGTTGACCTCGTGGTAACTCTTGGTGGAGATGGCACTGTCCTATGGGTATGTGAAATAAATTTAAATTAATTTGCTATGTTTGAAAGCAGTCTAGCTTTCAAGTATACAATGAAGCTGGGAATTTCCTTGATTTTAGTCTTTGAACAAAAACTATTTCTGATCCAATTCTAGTAAAGGTTCATTTTTCAAAGTGAAACCTGTCAACTTTGTCACATAATATATGGTTAGAAGCCAGAAACTAATTTGCATAAAATTTAATCAATAGGTATTGCTAGATACTTATTGTGAATTATTCTATGCATTGTGATAGTTTTGAGGGAGAGATGTCGTGTTGAGATAAGTAAGTCTGTATCATGCATATACATAATGTATCAAATTGTACTGTTATACTTTTATCTGCTTATTCAAACTAATATCACTAAACAAAAAATACCTTCATCTTAAGAGTTTAAATTTCATTTAATTAACATTAATGTTCTTGGGTTTTTATCATTTTTTTTTAACTTTAATTTCTAAGAATATGATTACTGAATTATTCTATTCCTATAAATCTCTGGCAATGGATTATTCATTCTTGAAGAGTTTGGTAATTAGGCCTATTATAATATCCTATCATATTTTGTATATTGGTTTGCTTTGTGTTGTGAGTTGTGACATTGATTAGTAATGATCATGTGCTAAACGTGCAGGCAGCATCTATGTTCAAAGGGCCAGTCCCTCCTATTGTCCCCTTTTCTTTAGGGTCTCTGGGCTTTATGACCCCTTTCTGTATCCTCCAACTTAGTGTTCATGTATATTATCTTTTTATTATAATATCTGTTTTCATTTTTTAATTGGAAGCTGAACTTAACCATCCTTCAGATAGTGAACATTACAAAGAATGCCTTGAATCAATTTTAAAGGGTCCCATTAGTATCACATTACGGCACCGTCTGCTATGTCATGTTATACGAGATGCAGCTAAAAATGAATATGAAACTGAAGAACCAATGCTTGTGCTAAATGAGGTTACAATTGATCGTGGAATATCTTCTTTCCTCACAAATTTGGAATGCTACTGTGACAACTCCTTTGTCACATGTGTGCAAGGGGATGGATTAATCTTATCTACAACATCGGGCAGTACAGCATATTCTTTAGCAGCTGGAGGATCAATGGTCCATCCGCAGGTACTTAGATGAAGTGTTTCTTATTCTTATGTCTTGATTGCAGAGTTCATTTTTTTATTTTTTTTTTACAGTCTAGTGCTTATCCCATAAGTCAAAACCATAGAATATTGTTCCTTCTAAATAATGAATTAATTTGAATGAAGAATTCCTTTGTGCACTAATTGCATTTGATCAAACAGCTATTAGTTGTCAGTTCATTAAAAAGTTCCCTTTGTCTCTGAATGAAGTCTGCTATATTTGTTCAAGAGCCATAGTAATCTATTTGTTTGAAGCTACATTCACCTTAACCTTACTGTGTCAGTGGCATGATCATGAGGCTAATTGAGTCTTCGATATGCAGGTTCCAGGTATTTTATTCACACCAATTTGCCCACATTCTCTATCATTTAGGCCATTGATATTTCCGGAACATGTGACATTGCGGGTGCAAGTACCATTCAACAGCAGAAGCCCTGCATGGGCATCATTTGATGGCAAGGACAGGAAGCAGTTAGCACCTGGAGATGCACTTGTCTGTAGCATTGCTCCATGGCCTGTTCCCACAGCTTGTTTGGTTGATTCTACCAATGACTTCTTGCGCAGTATTCATGAAGGCCTCCATTGGAATTTGAGAAAGACACAATCATTTGATGGCCCCCGGGATACATGACATGCCATTATCCTTCATTCTTAGTAAGCCTGTAGAGCAACTATAGTTGGAAACTGATTAGTCCTTTTTCAAGATAAAAAACAGTGTTACAGAAAATCTAGAAGCAGCTTAATATTTAATGTAATTGTATTCCTTTATCAGTAGGCACATGTAGTTATAATTTAGAGTAAATTATACTTTCTCTGTTGAGATGCTTAAATTACACCCTTTTCCTCCCTTATTTTTAAATGTACACTCTCCTCGTGGAAGAGATGAATATGCATTATACTTTAGTTCATTTCAATAAAATATTTAAATAATTTATCTATATTAAGATAAATTTAAATGTAATATATATTATATTCATATGAATTTTTAAAATAAAAAGGGAGAGAAGTGTAATTTAAACATTTTGAAAGAAAGAGAATACCATTTAGTTTACTCTATAGTCTATACACAAGTAGTGTCCACTTATGATGATGATATGTAAAGATTGATGAACTTTTTTAGATTTACGTTGGATTATTTAAAATTACGTCGAAAACAGTTGTGAAAAGGTTAAATCTTGTGGATTTGTATTCCATGACAGGTTAAGTTGGTGTTTTTGATTTACTAATATATTTGACTCGTCTCATTTATAATATGTTTAGATACAAATTCATAAGTGTTTGAAAAAAAATTTTTTATTGAAAATAAGGGAATTTTTTTAATAAAGTTTTAAAAACATTTTAAGACATTAAAAAAATGGATAGGGAATAAATGAATCCGTTTGATTAAACGGTCAAGTTGGACCTTAAATACAAATCAAAATTAATTTCTTTAATTGATTTTGGTAATACATTCAGCTATAAATAAATAAATAAATATTAAAAAAAAAAGTATATAAAGGGAGCAATTTCTTTCCTCCATAACTTTCCTCCAAAAACTCTCCTAAGTATTTCTATATATAAATTCCAAAGCTTCCCTCCAAAAACTTCCTCCTAAATCCTATATATTATTAAATATAAATATTGTTATAAAATAAATTATTACTAAATATAATTAAAAACAAATAAATATATCAAAATAATTAATACCTCAATAGTTAACAAATAGTTATTAAATATATTATGTAAAATAATATTTTTTTTAATATTTGACTAAATTAAAAAAATCTCAATATATATTAATATTTGTCATACGTTTATATCTTTACTTAGATAAACTCAATTTTTATACATATAAAAATTATTTTCATAAAATAAAAGAATAAATTTTGATATGTAAAAGAAAACTAATTTCTTAAAAATGTTTTGACAGATTTGACTAAATTAAAAAGAATATAAATATGTATTAATATTTTTCATTATTAAATATTTTATAATGTAAATCATTACTAATCATTATTATATTTCTATTAAATTTTAAAAATTAATTGGACAAAATAAATGAATAAAATTGAACAAAAATATATATAGATTTTGTGTAATTAACAATTAAAATTAGCATTTTATTATATTTTTGTATTTTAATATTATTATTATTAATTATAAATATCATTACTAATAGTTACTAATTATTTTCCTTAATTACACAAAAATAAACATTACTTTTTATGTAATTATGAAATTATAATATTTTAATCACCATTAAATTAAATTATATTTTCATTTATTATTAACTAATTATTTTTCTTTACTAAATTATTATTTTATATATAAAGAATCTCATTAGATAGGTCTCTAAACTCACTATAGTTTAGTTACTACACAACTATATAACATCATCATCTATCAGCTTACAACTTAACAACATAAACATCATTATATAACATATAAACTAGGAACATCATGAATTATCATCATACCATCTTCATCATACAACTCAGTAATCATTTATCAATCATATAACAACTTAAACATCATATTAAAGACATGTAACTTGTGTCTGATGATATCCCCTAGGTACCCGATACCATTGAGGCATGGGACTTCATATCTCATCCATGTCTGACGCCAATCAAGCAGAGGTTTTTTTTGCCTGATTCACACCCAACACCACTCCAATAGCGTCCGACATGAATCCATGCAGAGACAATTCTCTCTCTTCATGCATGATGTCATTCTCTCCTTAATTGTAAAACAATTTTCTCTTCTCATGTCCGATGCCACTAATCTTGTGTCCGACGTGAGTAAGATAGAATCCATTGGTTGAAATCGTGTCTGATGCCTTGAAAACGCGCCTAACGTAATATTAGTTTTTGCACTTATAAAAAAATTGAATTCTCACAATTCACCTAAAACACAACAACTTACCAACATGCATTGAATATACAACATATAAGCACATAAAGATCTCTTTCCCATCATCAAAAACAACATAAAACCATTAGATTACCCTAATCACTCATTTCCTTTCCAAGTATCAACAAGAAAACCAAAATTCAAGAATAGCTACAATTCAACATAATCTGATCAAAAATTCATTTCATAAATGATTTCAACTAGCACAAAGCAACCACAACTCAACAATTCATTTAATACAAGCTTCCCTTCTTGTCTACTCAAATTGAGAGAGGAAAAGAGAAAGAACAACTCCGTAGGACCTCCACCAACTAAGATTCTCAGCTACGATCTTGAATCTTCAACTTAGCGAAGTAGATCAACTATAGAAAAAAAAAGTTTTTCATTAGGAAATAATAGGAGAAGAATATTTTGTTCAAAGAATTTCTCTCTAAAATTTTTCTTAAAACAAAAATTTATGAAGTTCATTTATGAAGAAAAAATTTATATCATTTTTTAAGTTGAACTAACTTAACTCCAACTCAACTACTTTAAAAACAACTTAACTTTCATGGTCTCTTAACTCCAAAGCTCTTAATAACAACATTTATAACATCACAACAACATTTACTCACATAGTTAAATTAAAACATCTAAAACTCACACTATTACATTAACAACTACCAAAAGTAATGAAATTCTTATAATAAAAATTATTTTAATATTTTATCAGCATCAAATATTACTAAGTTTGCAATACCATTTTTCATTTTTGACATAAAAAAATAACATTTTATCGTAAACTTTTACTTACATGTGTACGAGTTAAATTTAAATTTTAACTTTTTTTTATTATTCATGTTCTCATTATTATGTCTCATTACTTTATTCTAATTGATTTTTGTATATAAGAAAAATCAAGTATCATTTTTTATTTTCTAATTTTTTTCATGAAATTAACTTATATAAAAATTATTATGATGAAAAAAGTTTAGAGATCATCAAATGGATTATCATAATAATCTAAGTATTGCACGAGTAACAAATCTATTCGAAATACAACTTTGAAAATGAGATATTTGAAATACAACTTTGGAAATGAGAGATTATTATATTTATAATTATCTAGCAATTGGATCAAATTTATTTGGTTGACAGTTATAGGATTTTTTTTTTTTTTGCATCGTGTTCGATTTTGATGAATGAAAAATATTTATATTCATAATGAACTTTATCAGTACTAGTATATCAATGGTAAAATCAAATTAGAAACACATAAAAATATTTTTTTAAGTTTAACGAAGAAAATGTTATTATACGAAGCAATGAAATAAAATATAAAACGGACTTATTAAAATAATTTACCTAATTATTTAGGCAAAGTGTAAGGATATTATTAATTATAGCACAATAAAAAAATTATAATTATTAATTACTTTGGAACGGATATGTCATACCATGTTTTAGCATAACAATTTATAACATGTCCTTTAAAATCCTGTTATAAATGAAGTTATTGTAATTTTCACTTCTATTATAGATTAAATTCATTAGCATTTTTTTATGTCTTAAACGTCAAGAGTACAAGTAGATAAAATAAAAACTAAAAAATTGTGCTTTTTTAAGTTACGCATATTTTATTTTTAAATAATTAAAAGTGTTTAATAGTGTGTTTTTAATGTCCTATAACATTTTTTGAGAACTAATGTCCATTAATTTATGATCAAATACAGGATAAAAAAGTATATATAAAATTTAGATCTTATCCAAATATATAATAAGCCTTTTTCTTTTTTCATGTATTTAAATATTGATGATAAAAATAATAAAATTCTATTTTATGAATGGAAGAGAAACAAAAACAAAAAAAAAAAGGCCCCCTTCAAGCAAATGCACCCATATCCCAGTCTGAATTAAACGATTTTAAAAATCTCCTGAAGAGTAGCATAATTCTACCAAATTTACAGGGAATTAGTCCACATGAAGGCTAAGTTTGTAAAATGCTCGTTCAATGGCAGAGGTTTTATTATGTTAGTAACAAAACACTAGTTTAATGTCTTGCAATCACAAGCTTTTCAGCTTTCATCTAAGTGTCAAATTATGTCCTGATAACAAAAAATAAATTATTTCCACATCCTCATAGCATTGATTGAATGAGGAAACTCGAGAGAAAAACAAGAATTCGCTGAGTGCTCAGCAATGAGCATATAAAAATAGAGGGAACCAAAACCTATTGAGATAATCCTACAACCAAACCTCTGAAGAAAATAAAGTTTTGTGATGTCCAGTACTGAAGCAAATGAACATCTTGAGAAAAATATAGTCAATCACGAAAGATCAAAGTAATGTAATCTTGTTCTTGGGCCTATTGGACTCCTATCCATCGAGCATAATCCACCCACCTGGCAAGGCAAAATTCAAGAACATGAACCACTTGCAACTAGTAAAGCTCCTTCTAAATGTAATCAGAAAAGGGCATGAAATTTCTTACAATAATGAGCCCAAATACGTATTGCCAGTCCGCACAGCAAAACAAAGTGCACTAAGCATGAGCTTGTGCTGGTGCAGCAAAGGTTCCAAAAGCCTCTGTTCAATGATTCCAGCAAGTACTTGATACCTGTCAGCAAAATCAGATTCTTAGCAAGGGTTTTAAACAACAATCAATATACAGTTATCGGAGGCATGAACAAGCTAGAGCGTTTTTTAGTATGATAAAGTAATAATAATGATAACGTACTTTATATGGCAAAATATGCGTTTATAAATCAAGAGTTTTCTTTAGAAAATTATACATCATAAAATTGTGCAAATACCATCTACAATAATCTGCACTTCATAACAACTGTTTAAGTTTACCAGTAGTCTTAGTTGTCTATTAAATGTTCATTATCACATCAAATAAACATATTTAAATAGGACGACAATGGAGAAGGAAGCATGCCCTTTCTTGCCAAGCAATTCACCATGATATATGGATTGAGATGATCGTCCATAATCAGATGACAATGAGTTAAACATTATGAACAGTGACAACTGATGAAGATTACTTAATTATGGGTGAGTAGCACTCCCATTATAATCATATTGATGATATTTTTTCACATTGATTTCTCAATGGTTCTTATAGTCTTTATTCATTTAAGTAGAGAAATAACTTGTATAAATGTTCCAGTAGTCATTTAAATGTATAACATTTAATTTAATTAGTGGAAAACCCAGATGCATAAATACAAGAGCAAGTTTGAAGCAAAAGCCACATGCTAGATTCATTTATAGATTTTATATTATAATAATCAAATGATTGATCAATAATTAAATAGTCCCTTTTACCTGAGATTGCTGGAAACTGCCATATAGACACCATAGGCAGCACTGGTAGACAATATGGGAACATTTTCAATTTCCCCTTCAGAAGACTTATCAACTGCCTTCTTTGCATTAATTAAGGCATTCGTCATAGCTGTTCCAACCTGAATGAATACAAAATGCAGTATATGTCAGTGCCTGAAGTCAGTTGATTCCAGTCACATGTAAAACATGAAGGCAAAGAACAATAGGCTTTGACAGGACAGGATTATTTATTAAAAGAAAAGGTTGCGATACATATGAAATGGGTTGTTGGAAAACCATTTAGGCCATTCTTAAGAACTAGTTGATCAACGTCTCAAAATCATATTTGAAGAACATGCAAAAAGTCAGTTGATTGTAATAGTGGAAATGTATTATGCCAAATCAGTCTTATCTTGCACCTTCAAGGGGTGAAAAATAAGTTCAAAAGGAAGCACGAGGATCAATATTTACACTATCATAGACAAACTGAACTCGTAGACCCAAGTGCATAAAACTTAACTAAATCATACAAAAGAACATTCAAATAGCACCCGTGTTATCAGTAGTTAAAATTGCAATTCAACATGCCTATATGAGAAACATTAAAAAATAACCCCTTTTCACACAAGAATTTCGGCAGTGCTAACTCTGACTAAGATCATACCCATATTTTGAAGGTAAACATGAAGTCCAAAACATTGTGCAACTATCAAGACTTATGGAAGGTCAATGAGAGACTGCATCAGTCAACTCAGTTACCAAATCATGAGTCTCCACTCTTGTGATGATTAATGAATAAATATCCAGAAATACTCATAAAGTTATGCGGAAGAGAAGGTCAGGTGACGTCAAAATTTTCTTAAACCACAAAAGCAGAAGAAAAAATTCCAAGGAATACAAGAACTAACCAGTGATGAAGCAGTTCCAACTGCAAAAAGCTTAGCCCCATTACGCTGTGCAACGAAACCAAATCACATACAAGAATTAGCGACAGGAAACTAAAAGAAAGAAAAGGGAGGAAAACGGATTCAACTTGCAAGATAAACAAAACATAAGTTACCAAATTGTACGTACCGCAATTGCACCAAACCTTTGCAACAAGGAATACGATGCTCCAGAGAGAGCTACCTGATGAAGGAAATCAAGAATGTGATAGGTAAATACCACCATTCAGCTACAAAAACTACGTAGTAATGAAAACCTGTGTGAATATTAAAAACCTGGAATGCATTATCTGGGCAGCCATGGAAAAACTTAGCAATAGGCCCTGCATTGAGTCCCAGGGGTGGTCTAAGAGCCACAGTAGGCGCAGGAAGATAAACCAGCATGAAATCTGCAATTATGGCCATCACCTAAGAAAACAGCACCATGTACAAACTGATGTCATGCCATGTACAAAGTGCAATACAACACACACTGAAATGTATTAAGAAGCAAAACTTATCATAGGTACCACTGATGCTGTTAAATGATTCTATCAAATGGAAAACGTATTTTAATTCTGATTGCATGTCAAGCAGTATCAGTTATTGCTGGTGTTGTTAAATGATCCTATTATATATATATATGAATCCCTACTCTCTCAAGTTAGAAAATAGTACCAAAAGTATCTAAGGTAGCAACAACAATATCTATGGTATTGTATCTAAGTTCTGTTGTTGGTAATTAAAATGTTAAGAAATGAATAATTTATCGAGAAAAAACATACCACATCAGCGAAGACAATTTCAATCTCCTTGAAAAAGTTTTCTCTTCTTCGGTCATACTCAGCAGCAGTCTAAACACAAGAGAATTAGTTTTTTCTCTGGAAACGATATTTAAACGATGAAAGAAGAGAACATAAGAGAAGAGAAATAGAGAAACCTTGGTGAAGACGCCAACGCCGCATTCCATGGCGACCTTAGCGAGGAAGAGATCATCCGCGAGGAGACGCTCTCTGAAGCCGGAGAACTGAAGCAGCCACCGGAAGAACGCCGACTTCTCCAGCTCCAGAAACCGCGTCACCACCGACGCCGGAATCTTCCCCGCCTTTATCGCCGCCGCCAAGTCCGCCGGAACGCTCTCCAGCGACCTACCGGCCTCGGCCACCACCATCAAGGCCTCGTTCTCTCTTTCATGGCCGCCGTCTCCATGAGCATCGCCGCCGCCGCCGTGACCTCCGAAGGATCCGCCGCCAGAGCCTCCGCCGGAGGAGCGGAGAGGGAGAAAGCGATCGGAGTGGCGGCGGGGGGGGGGGGGGGGGGGGGGGGGGGGGGGGGGGAACCAGAAACCGCGTCACCACCGACGCCGGAATCTTCCCCGCCTTTATCGCCGCCGCCAAGTCCGCCGGAACGCTCTCCAGCGACCTACCGGCCTCGGCCACCACCATCAAGGCCTCGTTCTCTCTTTCATGGCCGCCGTCTCCATGAGCATCGCCGCCGCCGCCGTGACCTCCGAAGGATCCGCCGCCAGAGCCTCCGCCGGAGGAGCGGAGAGGGAGAAAGCGATCGGAGGGGCGGCGGAGGGGGAGGCGGATGGGAGGGGAAGAGAGTGAAAAGGAGGGAATGGATTTGGCGTTGGAAAGGGAAGAGGGAGGAGCGAAGAAGGAGAAAGCGATCGACATTGTTACAGTTGGAAACAAATGATGTGCTACTTTCTTATGTTGTTTATTATGTATGTCTTGTGTTGTGTGTTTAGTGTTTAGTGTTGTTGTTCTCGTTTTTCGCGAGTGCTGTGGAATACTGCAATGCCATATTTAATATTGGGACAAAATTGTTGTTGCCTTCTCCGTTTAAGCTGAAGGCGACGGGCGTTACTTCTTAGGTTTACTTTTTTGTTCCCACCCTGTCCTCTTTTTTTTCAACATTCACGTTTCTATTTTCAGTTTTCAGTTTTCAGTTTTCACACCCCATAATCTCTAATATTAATATCATTATTCTCGCTGTATTATTAATTAGGAATCAACAAATTATTTAAAATACCTAAATTAATATTATGTGTTTTTTATTTTTATTTTATTAATTTTTAAACTAGATTGATTATATGCTGTAAAAAAAATTAAAAAAAATGCTATTTCAATCTTAATTATAAGTGATAAATTATTTTTTTTCCTGACTATAAGCAATTATTATTAATCTTTAAAGTTGTTAAAAATTATTTTTATTTTATTTTTTTATTTATCATTAATTCTATTTTTTTATGTATTTATTTATAATTATATTAAATATAACAATCATTTAAAAGTGAAAAGCATATTTAGAATAAAATTTAAATTTATGATAGAATTAATTAAAAAGAATAATATTAATTATTTTTGTATTAAAGATTTATCCTATATTATTTATAAATAAGATCAAAGATAGTGTTAATTATTAAACTATGATGATTTATAGAGTGGTATAAGTATAAGGTTTTGATAGATCGTAGATGTATGATAATTTAGATTTTATATTTAATATTGTTATTGTAGTCATTTTTATTAATAAAAAAAAGTATATTGATTTTTTAATGTTTTGTTTGGTAAAAAAAAAAATGTCAGGCCGAAGCGCTATCATAATCCATAACAACCATGCCTTTTCGAGATCTCTTTTATTCTATTTTATCTTTCTTTTGATAAAGTTTCCCTTTCTCTAAACAATAAATAGTATATAGTATATAGCGTGTATCTTTCGATTCGTTTTTCTATTTCCTCAATAAAATATTCACACTTTCATAATTAACTGTTTTCTTTTGCCTTCTACTTATTTAATTCCAAATGAAAAATTAGATTTTCTTTAACTAGCATCAAATCATTTGACTTATTTATGCTTTTTTAATAATCAGTAATTATTATTATCATGACCCATATTTTTTTAATAATACTAGTATTACATATTTATTATATATAATATAATTAAAATTTATAATAAATTATATATAAATAAATACTATATTTGAAAGAAAATATATATATATATATATATATATATTATATTTAAAATTCATATAACTATTTTGAATATAGAAATTATATTTAAAATTTGTGTATAAGTAGACATTTTTAAATATATAAATTATATTTTTATTTTAAAATACATAATTTATATTATGACAGAAGACTGTATTTAAGTATTAATAATTATTTTTTAAAATGTTAAATTTTAATTTATAAATAATTATGATAAATAAAAATCGAATTAGATAAAAAGTTAAAAAAAATCTCTACAAATTCATTCATTAAAAAATAAACTCTTAAAGATACTCCCTTAAAAAAAATTGTGTTTAATATATAAAAATTTATTTCATCGAAAAATATTTGTCGTACTCTCTTAAATATTTTATTGATTCTCAACAAAAATAATTTATAGTTAAATTTTACTTACTTTAACCAAACTAAATTAGTTTAAGATAAAAGCTTGGAATATTGGTATAAAATAAAAATAAATATATTATCCTTTAAATACTATATAAAATTGATTAAGAATTATTAAGAAAATACACTTTCGAAACACTATCTTGCTAATATTTTTCGTTTAATGAACATAAATTTATTAAAAATTACGATAATTGATGAGTCCCAATTTTTATTAAATGCGTTTTTTTTATAATTTAATAATGAGATTCAATAAAATTTGTAATTTTGAATAAAAATCTTCTAATCGTAAAAAAGATGGTATCGAGAGAGTGTAACCAAGATTCTTCACATGTCACAATATAAATCGATGATTATGTAAGATAATATTAAATAAATATTTATTACTAGTGGTTTTTATGTGGCCGCATTTATTTTAAGATCGTCCAATATTCTCAGTTATTCGATAAATTGTAAAATCGACGCATCATTGGCTTTTGCATGATGTTGAAAATTATTCGTTCACACCACACACCCTTTTCTATTCACTAATCACCATTCTAGAATAGCTTTATGCTCTTTATTTAAGTTAAAATAATTTATAAATCTTAAACTTTAAAAAATAATGAATTTTCTAATATATGCCTGCGAATACATGTTTTTAGTCAACATGTGGTTTTAGATTTTTATTATAATTTAAATATTTATTATATTGATCAACATGCGGCAAATTTGAGTGAAATAGTGCTCAAATTTTTTAAATAGGATTATCGAGACATATTAGTCATCCACCTTATTCAGAGTAATACTATACTCTTACTCTAATTAAAAGTTTTCACAATAAAGAAATAATAATAATTCATTTCTTTGTTGACTAAAAGATGAAAAAAAACGTTAGTTAGAAAATAAGAGTGAAAATCAAGATAACTTGTCCAATTTTAAAGTTTGACACCATTAACTTAACAAAGTTTTACATTATTCAATATTTATAGTGCGTGTTTATTTGATATGACATTTTTAAAATTCGTTTTTTCTTTTGTGTCAAGATTCTTCCTATTATAACTTATACATTACTGAATAATTTGATGTGATTCTTCTTCATTCAAAATGTGTATTCAAATATACTCATCATATTCCCAAATATTTAATGAGTTATAAAATGAAAAGCATCACTAGCTTTTGCATGATGGTAGATGCACTGCGTTCATATAATTAAATTTGATAAAAGAATATATCTCATTCAATCATAAAAGAAAATTGTGATTAAATTTGAATGAATTTGAAAAATTATTTTTTCAAAAATTAAATTAAATTAAATACAATCCAAATCAATCCATTCTTTATTACAATAATATTTAATAATAAATATTGTTTCATTACAATAATTTTTTTTTGTGACTATAGTTTGTCTGGAAGAAAATCACCATTACCAAATATCCTGAATTATTTGGCGCGTATTCCTCAACTAGGACTGTGTTGATCACCTCTAAATATAAATTTATGGTCCAAGTCTTTACATTTTCAAATCTTAAAATGCATAGTTAGTTGTGTTTTTACATGGTCAAAATTTTTATTACCTGGGTTTTGTGCCAAAAACAAAAAGGTTTAATCTCACCATGGTATTAAAGATATATAAATTATTAAACACTATTGTTGGTGTTACTAGGAAACAAATTGAATTGTGGGTGATGATTTTGGTAGTATGTGATATAAATTATTGAGTAGAATACAAGACGAAAGAGTAGAAAAGAGTGAAGACTTAGGAGCCGGCCCTCGGTCCAAGCTCCGCGGAAGTTGGACTTATTTACGGCTGTTTAATGCTTTTCATTTCAATTTTCAAATCCAACGTCAGGTGAATATCTTTTTTATTTTCTCTCACCCCAATATTCAACATTCTTTTCTTTCACTAAACTCTAAATATTCAACTTATATGACTGTCACTATGTGACTCTACGGCCAATGTCACCTCCCATCCAATCTGTTTTTTTTTCTTCTTTTATTCTTATAATTTTATTTTTAATGTAAACTAAAAGATGAGAAATTAATTCATAAAAATTAAAAATTAAAAATACAGAAAAATGTTAAACTTTTGAAAGTAAAAAGTGTATTTAAGTATTTTTTCTAAAACCTGACTAATAGTTTCCTACAAGCGTTGTTTAAAGTTAATTATTTGATAAAATTGAGTTACTAGGGATGAAATGAGTGATGTCCACATGAATTGCTTGAGGGTTGACGATGGAGTTAGGCATGGATCCACCATGATGGTAGATTTTTATTTATTTATTTTTATATAGTATTAAGAAAGTTTAACTGAACTAGGACAAGCATCAGGACTTTGTTCATGAATAATTTACATGATTACTTAGATAGTAGATGATAGAAGGTGGGGATACTTGCAAAGATATTATAACTTTTAAGTCTTCGGTTGGGTGGAGTCGTTCAGACGTAGGGTAATCTCCCAATCCCAAACGTGGGTGCCTATATTAGTATATTAAATGAATATTCTGGAATCCTAAAGATGCGTTGTAGTTGTAGTACGAGCAAGATTCTTTGATTTTATTTTTGGCATATAAAAATTAAACTACCTACTGAGATGGGCCTTCACCCAGTACTACTAATTAAGATTTATCTTTTTGATCCTTTCTTACTTACTCCCGAACACCATCAATTAATGTTCTAACTAAAATTATTCTGCCATGTTTAACTTCTTGTTTTGCCCACAAGAATAAATTCAAATTTGATAGGTATTTAAATTTCGTTACTCTTCCTTTATTGTATACTTCTTCCAAACTAACTAAGCCAACAAGAAAATTACAATTTCAACCATTTTTAATAAATTCCACGTGAAACTTGATTTCTAACAAATCTTGACGAACTCTGTTTAGTAAAAGTTTTCCCAAAAATTTATTGTTGTCACTTAAATCTTATTGAGAATTAGTATTTTGTTATCACAAAATCTACTTGTCCATTTTCCACCCTAACAACGGACATAGTAAATGCATGATGTTTCGTGTCATGTAGTGTGTGTGTGTGTTTGAGTGGGTGTACCTAAGATATTGCATGTGCTCTATTTCTATCTGTTATTTATTCAAATTGTGGTTAATTTGTAGTTGAATCCTTATTGTTGCTTTATTCAAATTGTGGTTAATTGCCTTTTCTTTAACAATTTATATCTTTGGCTTGCAATTATGCTATACATCAACCGCAAAGTTAGTTGAACGTACACATATTGATTCCACCTCGTATTTCCATATCACTTAACCTAGTTTAGAGCAATAAACTTTCTTCAACCATAAATAGCATTCTGTACATCAAACTTCCAATCTAATGGCTACTACTATATTTATTAATTTTATATGCTTCAACTAAGTTTGGATCGTTGAATGTCGTCGAATTTGGGCACAACACAAACTCAAGCACTCCTTAGTGGGTCTTCAAGCCCTTCATGGTGTTCATGGGCCATGTATTTTGTTGTCATGCCAAAATGGACTTTTGTTTAGTTTTTAATGCAGCCCATGTCCGCACTCTTTCCTTGAGTTAGATAAAAAAAAAAATTTAATACATTGTATAGAAAAAATAAATTTATAAATAAACTTTTATTATGTGTCAATAACGATGTTGCAAATCACTTTGGGGGAGGAGACAACGACAACCTTCTAACCATTACTTAGATATCCTTTAGGGCGTAAGCACCACAAATGAGAAAAATTATGAAGAAAATAATAAATATAATAATTACGTAACGTAAAAAATGAAACAAAAGAGATTAATTTGAACATATTATATCGTTAATCAATTGAAAAAAGTATTTTAAAAGTAATTATTATAAAAATTAACAATTTTATTATATACAATAATCTAAGATTGGATGACGTTGTATTATTTAAAGTAACTATTCTAAAATTGAACTGATTGAACATATTATTAGATGAGAAAATTTGACATTATCCATATGCATTGTAATTAAATGAAGAATTGACATTCATATATTTTTTCATTCTAAAAGAAAAAGAAAGAAAAAAAAAACAAGTTTAAGTGGTTTCTAATGGGTGACCTAGGAGGTGGTTGTTGAGCACTTGGTGAAGATGGTGAAGCATGTCCGGCGGATGAGCCTCCAAGCGGGGGCGCTCCGGCAGAACCCACCGCCCATCTCGGCCCCTGACCATCCCCTTATTCTCGTCCTGGCGCCAGTGCGGCGGAACACCGTACTCACTCCTCAGAAAGTCACAGCTCTTGTTGACAAGCGCTATGTCCCGTTTGGACGCCAAGTAGAACCTCTTCCCCTTCCCATGGTACCCGTCCACCAAGTGCAGGTGCACCTCCAAGTTATGCGCGCACACCAGATCATTGCTCCCCTTCAGAAACGGGCTCTCCCTGTTATCCAACGCCATCTCCGTTCCCACGTGCGCGTAGCTCCACGGGAAACGCAGCGCCTCCTCTACGTACCTCTGAAACTGAAACTTCTCGTTGGTTATTATCCCAGGCAGCGTGGGCACCACGTCATGCACGTTCACCACCCTCAGCACCTTCACCCCAAGCTCCTCGCACCGCTCCTTGAACTTGAGGTTCCCCACTCTGGGACCCGCGAAGGAGAAGACCGTGAGCGGAATAATACTCTTGGTCTCCTGAAGAACGTTTAGGTTGAGCTCGGCTATGTCGTAGGCGCTGAGAATGGCCAACGCAGCACCGAGACTGTGGCCTGTGATGGTGATGGAGATGTGTTCGTCTCGGTAGTAGTGAAGAAGGCGGTTGACTTCGGAGAGGAGTTGCTCGCGAGCGGAGAAGGAGCAATAGGTGCAGGAGTGTTCTTTCTTGGTGTACAAATCGTAGAAACCGGATTCCACTTTGATGGTGGGGTCGTTGGAGAAGAGTGGTGGTCGGAGAATGTCTTTGAGGTCGTAGATCCACTCGACGTAGGTGACCGTGCCTCTCCAGGCGATGACGATGTCGCGGCGTCCGAGGCGTTGGATCTGTTCCTTGTCGGTGGTTACTGCCACGTAGCCCATCCAGTTGGCGTGTGGGCTCCACACGGTGCCGAGGCTGGACTTCTGGAAGAAGTTCGGGAGGTTGACGTTGGAGGTCGCGTAGAGGTACCGGCTTATGGTGTAGCCCATGTGGGACATGTTGAGGTTGTCGAAGAATTGCGAGGGCTGGTACTTGCACGTTCCGCAATACTTTGAGTGAGGGTCGAAGTCGAAGGAGTCGTAGCATGCTTGGGCTAGTTCTCCGTACCGGATTATTTCGTTCCTCAGGTGAGGGTTCATCGTCGGCTCTATCATATTCTCCCAATCGTTGCTGCCTTGGATTTGCTTCCACACTTGCCTCAAGGGAGGCTCTGATTCGGATAATTCACTTGAGGTGCAAGAGCACTTGATGGTTGCTGAATTAGGTTTGGTTTTGTGAGATAAGAGACTTGTGGGTGTGGATATGGGTGATCTTCCAAGGAGAGGAAGAGAAGGGAGAGTGTGGTGTAGAGGTACAACTAAAGCCATACTATGAGAAATTATTAATTATGTTATGAAATAATAAGTAGCCTCAAATATATGGGGAGCAAGCAACAATTTGATCACCAACAAATCAATGGACTCATATTACATATAGTTCTTGCTGTGGTTACTTGAGCCATAATAAGTGCAGCTCTATTTGTTATATTGGATTGCACTTGTATTGTCAAGGTCACCTTTATATATATATACACTTACTAGTGGGGGAAAGAATAAGCGATCTAATAAAAGAAAATCAAATATTTTAGACTTTGTTTCAGTTTTTGGGTCTAAAAACAGGCAGGAACATAGAGGAAGTAATAATGATCACCCCGAAATTATTGGACTAGCTAGTATGCTAGTTGTTGCTTTTCATATTGAGCTGCTTTTGTATTGTCAGAGGCCAGCTTTCTGCAGCACTGTAACAATGAAAAATACTGATGTATGTACACTTTTTTTTTACTCGATCATAGACTAATCTCATTTGCTTGTAATATTGCAATTATTGCTGACTTGAGGAATTTTCATTTGCACATAGGAAGAAACAAACATACTTAACCACTCTGTCAAGCTATTGAGTTAGCAATTCTATTCCTATTTTACTTTCACCTTCTTTTTCTCTCAATCACTCTCTTCGTTTTTTTGTCTTATCAATCTATGATGTATATCATTTTTTTTCTCTATCTTTTTCTTCTTTATCTCCTTATCATTTTTTATATCAATCCCTTCAAAATGAGATGGATGATACTTTGTTTTTTTGTTTAAATATAATTTTTTTCCCTATAATTTATCATTTTTTCACTTTTAATTCTTGTAAAATTTTTGTTGTTTTAAAAATAGCCTACTTCATTATTAATGCTTAAGTAACTTGATTTTAATTTTGTTTTAGACAATTTCAAAATGTATTTCAGTGTTGTCATTCTATCACACTCTTCGCTCATAACCTCTTTAGGTTACGAAACACCACATCCTGGTTGTCGTTAGTAGTCAGGTTAGACTATTGTCCCCCCTTCTCTGATGAGATGTCCCGATCGTCACTATGAAGACAATTATAATAGGTAACAACAATCTTGATGTCTTGAGTTAATTTGTCCAGTTCTTCTTGACCTTGCAAGATGCTATATTTGCAATAGTAGACTTTCTAACAATATATGAACTCTTCCATGATAAAAAATTAGTCGAACATGAGGTTAAACTCCTCCGTGATGAGATGACGATTGGTGATGACCTCATAAAGGAGATGTGATAAGTGCTCAAATTACATATTTTTATGCTTAATTTGACACTTTTTTTGGGAGAGATGTAAGTAATTTTGGTTATATTTGACCCTCCAAATAGATAATTTAAGATTAATCTAAGAAGTTACAAGAGTATAGTTTCTTTGGTTGAAAATATTTCCTTTTTGTGTAGGTTTTGATGAAGTTGGAAATCCAAGGCTATAGCTTCAAAGCCAAAGCTGCAGCCATGAAGCCTGAACCAAAATGAAGTGTTCCAGAGAGTTAAGGCTATAGCTTCAGATCCAAAGCTGCAGCCACGAAGCTTGAACCAATTCCAGAGAGTTGAAGCTTCAGCCATGAAACTAGAGCTCCAGCCTTGGAACATTCTGAGCAGTCCAGAAATTCAGAGCTACGGCCCCCATTCCAGAGCTACAACCTTGAAGCTTTGTGCATCTTGGAGCACTTTTAGAGCTGCAGCCACACATCCAGAGTTGCAGCCTTGGGTTAAAAATCCCAACTTTCACCTGGACAGGAGGTATTTTAGGGCAAGAAAAGAAAGAAAAAGGGGATCGAAATAGAACGAAAAAAAGAAAAGAATAGAAAGAAAGATCACCCAGGAGAAGAGGAGAGCTTGAAGATTAGACTTGAAGATTGGCTTGCTTGGGAACGAGGACCCATCTTCATTTCTTCTCTTCTATTGTGTAATCTCATCTTTTTATTTACTATGGCCCTCACCATGAGTGGCTAGTTTCTCTTGGGTTGGATTCAATGTAACTACTAACTCTATTTCTTCTTAGATCTATATGATATTCAGCTCTATTACTTGTGTTTGATTCTTCTCTTAATGCTTAATCCGGTTTGATCACCCGTTTTATGATTTTAGGTTTTTGAACTTTGTTGGGAAACATTTTCAAAACCCGAACTGAATCATTCACCTAATAATCTCTTGTTCTAGGAATAGACTTGATTTTGTTAGCCATTTTGGTTCAAGTTATTGTCTTAATGCAAGGTGTTAATCTTAAATCATAGAGGAATCATGTTTAGGGTTAACCACCTTAGGGCTCAATTTTGAGGAATCTGGTTGAGCTAACTATTGAACATGGAAGTAATAGAAGTGGAATCATATTTATCTGATGAAGATTAAAAGAGTTAGAAAGTACATTTGAATCCAATATCTTTCTCATATAAGGTTTACTGTTAGATTCTTACTTTCGCTTTTAATTACTCTAATTTAACTTAAATCAATACTTCATTCATGTTCTATGTAAACAAGAAAGGAAATTACTAGTATCCCCAAATCCCTAAGGACGATATCAAATTACTACAACGAAGCTTGGTCCGCTTGCCAAGAATGAAAAATCATTCACCAAGATGGTGAATTGCAAGGACTAAAAGGATAAACCAACAATAATGGTGAATTACAAGGATAAAAATTGTATTTCAACCTTATATTTTAATTTTGAAAAACTCTATAACTTAATGTTTATTTTTGCATTTTTCATCTTCTCGTTACTTGCTATTTGTCATTTTTCTCCATCCTTCTCGAGATATATACACCTAACACGTGACGGCAAAAGAATATTTTATTTTTTAATATATTATTGCACAAAATATTATTTTTTATTTAAAATAAATAATTTTTTCAAAAATTAAACAAATACTTAAGAAAAAGCTTTACGATCACATTTTTGGTTTAAGTAAAATTTTCTCTTATGATGCATACCAAGAAAGTAAAATATAAAAGAAAACAAAATTAGAAAATATAATTAAAGCACAAACTTATGAAATATAATTGAAGCTCTTGTCATTTTAAGGTTAAAGGAGTGTGAGCTAAAATATAAAGTGTAATCCAAAGTTACTAATACAAATAGTTTAATATTTATATTTTTAATTAAAAAATAGGATTTAATTTTCGATTTGAATATGAAGATGTGATTAAAAAATGTGACTTTATTTTTATAAGATTAATTAGATTAGAAAGAATTATATCCCTTTATAAAAAATTAATAATCGAAAGTGCATGTGGAACTTGTGTGAGTTGATTTGTGGCAATGAAGTTGGTTAAGAATGGGGTGCTGGGAAAATAAGATTTTTATGAAAGAAAACATGCTGTGGAATTGTGGATTCCTCACTCTGTCAACTTACACACTTTTATGGTCCACTATTGAATTAATGGTGTTGAGCTCTTCATTCCCACATCATAGGAAATAAATTATCAAAATGTTAAGGATAAGATCTAGACCAATGAATATTCTCAATACACAATGATATTGATATGTATAAATTAAGTGTTAATTAAAACTATATCTATATTATGTTATATAAGTATTAATATAATATATTAATTATTATTTTCATAATGTTTTAAATATTTAAATATATTGTTATTTTTTTATAAAATAAGTAAATTTTGATTTTAGTTTTTTGTAAATTTTTTTTGTTATTTTTCACCTTTCTAAAATTTATAAATATTATTTTTTTATCCTTGTAAATTTAATAAATTTTGCTTTTGATCCCACTATAAAATATTTTTCTTAGATTTTTATTCTTTAAAATTCAAAGTTATTATTTCTAATCCCTAACGGAAATAGATGTATAATATTTATTTTAAGAATCCATTAAATTTTAAGGTTTCAAACAATGATATGATATCATTATTCACTAATAATTATGAATAACATGATCATTTAACCTTTTAATAAATAAAATGTAGTAAAAATAATCACATAAAAAATAGGATCTAAAAATATAATTCCAATTTTGGAAAGATAAAAACACACAATTTTTTATAGAAATTAAAATCAAAATCTACTAATTTTATATGGATCAGAAATATATTTAGACATATTTTAAAATTATATAATTTCTTGACTGACCTATTTAAATTATATATTTGATTAAATTATATTTTTAATCTCTATTTTTATCAATCCCCACTTTTGGTGCTTCCCTCAAATTAACATATATAAATCTTTAAATTTTAATGTTTACTCGATTTAAATAATGTAATATTTAATAATATGATATTTGAAGATAAAAAAGCTAAAAAAATAATATAAATAAAATTTATTAATAAAATAAATATTAATTACTGATTAAAATATATATTAATAAAGTTTTTTTGTATATTATTTTTTTTTTAAATTCTACATACAACCTTATTAAATATCATATCATTTAACTCGTAACAACTTAATAAATCATTGAACAACATTAAGATTTAATTATTAAAAAAATATTAAATCAACAACAAAATTAAGTTTCCATATTTTTATAATGTTTACTCGATTTAAATAATGTAATATTTAATAATATGATATTTGAAGATAAAAAAGCTAAAAAAATAATATAAATAAAATTTATTAATAAAATAAATATTAATTACTGATTAAAATATATATTAATAAAGTTTTTTTGTATATTATTTTTTTTTTAAATTCTACATACAACCTTATTAAATATCATATCATTTAACTCGTAACAACTTAATAAATCATTGAACAACATTAAGATTTAATTATTAAAAAAATATTAAATCAATAACAAAATTAAGTTTCCATATTTTTAAATAAGAAAACTAAATATTTTTATTTTAAAATAAAAACTAAAATTAAATATTAACAACGATAAATAAATAAAAAGTGCAATCTAACCTATATATTTATAACAGATATAATATTTTTTACATTTAAATATAAAAAAATACATACTAATTAGTAATTAGAGATAAGAAGGGATATATATATATATGATTGTATTTGTATTCCATAAATTAATAAATAAATAAAATTGAATGGTCATGTAATAATTGTATAGGAGTACATGGAGTGGGATCTGTGGTGGTCCTTTTGCGTGCCCACTAAAGCACAAAGGAAGAACTACTAGTGGACTGGCGTCTGAAACTTTTCATGGCGTGCCTCGCTCTGTACTATAGTGGGAAAA